CATAACGCACTTGTCTGCCCAATTAGCCGAAACAATTATTGCAACTTTGACTTTAATTACGTCTCAATTTGAAGCCTGGCGCTGGTCTATAATTCAGTGATTAAAACCCTCTCTGCCCCAGTGCCTTTAGGGCAGCGCATGATTAGGACCTGTCAGCTGCTGCAGTGAACGGAGGCGGCCATGCGTGTTGTGCAACATGACCCGCTGTTGTTAAAGCTTGTCAACATATTAACCTGAATTCCCCAGTCATTATAGACTGAACTGCCTACATAAGAAGGGGGAAATGTACACATATGTATGCGTAATTGAAAATATATATATAGGCTAGTATTTTCTCAAGTATTTTAACAAGGAGCAAGATGTCACATAATGTCCTAATTAGGGCCTATTATACAATAAAAGCTTGAATAAAAACCAGTGTGTGTGTGTGTGTGTGTGTGTGTAAGCTGCAGGCTTGTGGAAATATATGTTTATTATCTATTTTTATGGCCAAATGTAACACGGTCAAACAAAGATACTGTCAGACAGGAGTTCACACTGACATAAATATTACATTTTGTTGCTAAGAGTGATCTCAGAAATCATGAGTCATTGGATATCTGGTCATTACATGTAGACAAACAAAAATAAAGAGGTTTGACAAGAGGGGAGAGACTGTTTTGGAAGGGCCAAAAGGTTCATCTGAAGCACATTTGATCCTTGTCAAAATATATTGATTCATGTTCTTTCAAGAGACAGTTGACGTCTTCCTTAATTTCTGACGGGCCATCTGGACTGACTGATGAGGGCAGACTCTTGTTTTCTTTGTGGGTTAAGAGCTAATGTGGCAGGAAGCCTAATAAGTCCGTTCATAACTATGAAAATGGTTATTTGCCATAAAACTGAGAACATGAACATTTCCTGCTATGATAAATCTGCAATAGAAAAGGTCAGTGATGTCAGTGTTTTATGTATAATCCAATGCTTCATGTAGAGTACATAGCACACTGTAGGTAGGTGGTTTGCATAAGTTTGCAGGAGTGGCCGAGCAGTGCATGCAGACTGGGCCTTAGGTTTTTATAAATTTGCCCTGAGCCACAATCAGTGCAACTGAGTTTCCTTTGGTGTATCCAGAGGTGAATAATTTATGGGAGGATAAAAGCGTTTGTGGTAGAGAGCTAGACAGTCAGACAGTAGAAGGAGCCTGGCTGGGAATCCCCCCCACCCCTTCCCTCCAACCCCTCCAACCCCTCCACCCCACCCCAACCGAGCTCGCCCCTTGCCGCGTGGTGGCCTTGCAC